AACCTTCGCATGGCTTTATCACATTCAAAAATGATTTACGTTCTGATGGCGTGCCAATCGAAAGTTATCAAGTGAGTTTTTCTGCGCTCGTATTAGATGAGTCGTTACTCTATTTTTGATCAAAATAATACATGTTCCTTTGTTACTTTTTGAGGTTAACTTTTAGTTTTTAGGAATTCCATCCTTATCTTTTCGCACAGTTCGAAGCGAGTAATCACCGAGAGTATGCAACATTTTCGGAATGCGTCGACGAATACTTCTCAAAATTGGAATCGCAAAAAGCTGATCAGCGGGCGTTGAACGCTGAACGAGATGCATATAAGAAACTTGAAAACGTTAAGCGTGATCAACAGGTTATTTATTTAATTTATTACTGGTATAATATTATGTCTTACGATCAGTTTATTCTTGCTATTCAAGTTATGCATTAACGATCACGGAATGCAGTACTGATTGTGAGTTTCATTTGAAAATGTTTCATTTGAGTTTTGACAAAACGATCTGAATTAGTTATATGAGCAAATATTCGTAGTAACGAATAGGAATAATGATGGATAGCAGTTAATTGTGACGGTCGTACAATAAATTGCGGAAAAGTTTGATTGAGTTGTCCTTAAAGGAGCGCATAGAGTCACTGGAAATGGCGCAAGCAGAGAAACGAGAAATGGCCGAATTGATTGTATTGAACAATGAACTCGTTGATAAAGCCCTTCTCATCATTCGATCAGCTATTGCTAATCAAGTACGCTAGTTTGTTATTCGTTTCACCTTTCAGCACGTATTGTCTTTATTCCTTCGTGGCCATTATTATTACTAAATTTTTGTTTCTAACGTTATTTTTTACGATATTATTTGTCATAAATTGTCATGAACGCTGAATATTTTGGAATTGTGACATAAGAGTTTTTTAGTAGATTAACAAGGTCGCTTTTTAATTGCGAATTGTTGAGTTTGCTAACAACAGGACAGCGAGCGAAAGTTTTGGTTTTTTGTAATTGAATTGAGTCGGGGTGAAATACAGTAAATGATGTGATAATGTTTTTATTTATTTATTTACTCAGCTGTTATTTTACGTTTCGTACATAAGCGTCTTCAAGATCACTCCAGTCATCACTATTATTTTCGGTCGACCCCAACTTCTTTTTCCGATTCTAGGTTGCCATTCTAGGTGCATCTCTTCGCCCAGTTGTTATTGTACATTGTTGCAATTTTTCTTGCCCACTTAATTTTCCTTTCTCTTGCACATTTTACAAAGTCTTTAACTTTCGTTACCCCTCTCAACTTTTCATTCGACTTATTGTCCCGTAGTTTCACCCCTACTATCGACCTCTCCATCTTTCTTTGGGCTGCTTCCATCATATTTTCCATTCTATTTGTCACAGTTCATGATTCTGATCCGTATAACACCGCGGAAAGAACACATTCATTATACAGATGTCGTTTCAAAGCCATCCGACCCTCGTATCAGCGAAAAATTCTTTATATTTGTAAAACGATTTCTATCCAATTTTTATCCTTCTTCTCATTTCGGTTTTCCCATCTCTTTTCATTGATATGAGCTGGCCGAGGTATATGAACTCGTTGACTTCTTCAACGATATTTCCGTCAATAATGAGCGGTGATTTGATTATACGGTTTGTCATGATCTTTGTTTTGGTGACTGATGGTTCATTTTGTGACATCTTTTTTCAGTTTTGCTACTTTCCTGATGTAGTAATGACCCAACGTTGATCACGGCGCGTTTTCGTTGTTTTCAACTTGATCGGTAGATTGTTTTTTTTGCAATCGCAAGGCAACCCAAATTTACATTTCTCCGCATAAAACTGATTTTTATCGGTAGCGTTGTGCTGGTAGTAAGTTGTTACTAATTTGTACCTATGTGTGGATATTAATTGTTGTAGATGAGTTGGGAGATGATTGAAGAGATGCGTGTGAAAGCGTGTGAAGCGGGTGACCCTGTTGCGTCTTCAATTGTTGGTTTAAATCTGAATTCAAACGAAATGATTCTATCGCTTCGGGATCCGTATTATGACGAATCGACTCCTAAAAAGGTTACTTCGCGTTCACAATTGTTGTGAATTGTATCGTCGTATTGTGAGATGAATAATTAAAGCTATTTTGTTATGAACGAAGAAATAAGAGAGCGGTTGAACAAATCAGTTGCATTTTCCGAGCAAGCTATTGATTCCAAAACTCATTCATGAATCTTCTGTACTTTGCAGGTACCAATCGATATATCGTTGTCGGCGCATCAGAATTCGCGTAAATTCCATTCAGAAAAAAAGGCTGCATTCGAGAAAGAGCAAAAAACAATCTCGTCCTCATCGAAAGCATTGAAGTCAGCACAACTGAAAACCAAGGAAACGCTCGCTACAGTAAATTGCTCGTTTATCTGAAGATTTGATCACTTTCGTTGCGGAAATTCTAAATCATTGAGATTCTACTTTATCAGATTATTCTTGTTGATGAAAGTATGTGATGAGGTCTAACAACAAGGTATTTAAATATCCGTAACTTGAGAAATTTCTCATGAATTTTGCACGTTATAAAATTTACAAGCAAAATTCCAGGTTCTTCCCGAAGAATGTGTCTCTTTTCTTCCTCTCAAATGAAGTAAAATTGATGACTTTTGTAAGCTAGACATGTATAAATCTCAATAACCCATATTTCCGTATAAGTGACTGATTTTGAAATAATATTCAATTAAGGTACGAGCTAAAGCTGATGTGGTTAAATCGCGTCGACAAATGTGGTTTGAGAAATTCTTTTGGTTTGTTACTTCAGAGCACTACCTTGTTATTGCTGGTCGTGACGCGCAGCAAAACGAACTACTCGTTAAAAGGTAATCATTTGTTCGATCCATCGTTTTTATACTGCTTTTTTAACTTATATATTCCATATTTAAATTTTTCTCTTTGGCTTCAAAAAATTGAACAGTGTAATATATTACTTCGACACCGTTTTTCTGCGCAATTAATGTAGCCTATTACTGGTATTATTATCGACTTAGTAGGTCGTATTTCCGTGGACGTTTTCATTGCAGTTTTGTAAATTTTTCGTTCCTCTTATGGCTTGCTGCTTATGGTGCAGTGGGATTGTTAATGAATTAGATGATTGTATTTGTTAACCATTTTGTAAGAAACTTATTTGAATCTATTTTGATTGAAGTTGGACGTGACTACGCTTGTGTATTTGAGTGTCTTTTAAGAACATCTTTTCAAAAGGAATATTTTAAGATACTTACGGCCAGGCGACATATATGTGCATGCAGATGTTCGTGGTGCATCATCGGTAATAATTCGAAATAAAGTGAATGGAGGTGAAATACCGCCGAAGACATTAAATGAAGCCGGTTCAATGGCTGTTTGCTATTCATCCGCATGGGATGCTAAAGTAATCGCGTCAGCTTGGTGGGTCTATCATCATCAGGTGAGGTGTTCTTTCGCTATCATCTATTCATTCCATCGGATGAGGAATTCTAACATTGGCCCATCTTATTATCAACTACTAATACATGATGTAATTGATTGCGCACGAGGGTTATTCATTATCCGATATTGGTGATTTTGATCGTCTTTATTTTCATTCAGGTTTCGCGCACCGCACCAACGGGTGAATATCTAACACCTGGTAGTTTTATGATTCGCGGAAAAAAGAATTTCTTACCATCGTGTCAACTGCAAATGGGATTTGGTCTGATGTTCAAACTTGATGAAGATTCTCTTGAACGGCATCTGAGCGAACGTAAGGCAGTGAATAGTGAACTGGTTGACGATAGTGACAGTAAGGATAAATCTATACTGAATGAAGCGACGACACATATGAATCAGTTGGAATTAGAAAATGAAGTTGATATTGAGCTGGATGGTGGGAGTGATTCCGAAGGTGACGAACGCAATTCTGAACTGATTGAACCTGAGCTTGATGAGCAATTCCCTGACGTTCAGGTTACTTATCTTTTTATTTGAGAAGTTTATTACAATTCGCAGTCATTCTATTATATAATTTTGATTTCTTTCATGCAGTTAGAAATTATCAATTTTGAATTGTTATTTGATTTGTTTTTTCTTAGTTGGTAGTCTTTCGATTGTTAACTACCATTATGTAGCATTTTTTGACAGCTCAGTACTCGTGAAATGAGAATTGTGTGATATGAGAAGAGAACAAATGAACATGAAAATCGTTTACTCTTTTCAACTACACTTATTATCATTAATCAGATGGAATGAACTGTTCATTTTATCACAAGTAACTAATTTATAACCGATATTATATGAAGTAATCGTTCGCAGTTGGTAATTGTTGCGAGAAATGAACTTTGAAAAATCATATCAATTTCTTTTTTTGTGATTATGAAATTTGTATCATTGTAGAGCAGAGAGTGATAAAAATGAATTTATAGGTAAGTTTGAGCGGTATTGTGAACGCGAATGGTAGCGCTAAAGAAGAGGAGGAATATTCCATAATTCAATTAGGACCGACTATTGATAGAAACCGAGCAGAAAAAGAGCGTGAGAAAGAAAAGTTAGTTGAAGAGAGAAAAGAGGTGAATACGAAGAAGGATAATGCCAACAAACCGTTGACGAAAAGGCAGAAGCATAAAGCACAGAAGATCAAAAAGAAATATGGTGATCAGGATGAAGAAGAAAGTATTCTCAGGGCTCAATTTTTGGGATCTGTTTTCAAAACCGATGGAAAGAAGCAGCAATCAGGTTGTGCAATTAGGTTTTTCAATATTTGTCATTTCGTATATTCAGTTTTGGAACCATCGCTGTTGAAAATGTTTATCATGAAGTTCAGTTATATTATGTGCAAATGTTCGATTGAATTCATCATTATTTTCATTACTGACACAATTGTTAGCAACACGTGATCGAATAATATCATCATATGGTTCATTTTGAACAAGTCTGTCCCTTAATTCGAGAATATNTTGAATTGATTACGATTTTGCTGTTCAAATGAAATCTTGAGATCATCAAAGAATTATTCTTAAAGTTGACTCGATAGAGACAAAACGTCGAACACAGGCAACAAGGAAAACTGAGGTAAAACAATTGAGTGAGGAGGAGCCGATGCAGCTGAACGTAGAGGCGGAAACTGTTGAGAAACAATCACCAGGAACGGATGAACAAACTGCTCAACCAGTGGCATCAGCAAAGGTTGTGGTTTATGAATGATAAAGACTGACATTCAAGAATACTTATCAACGTTGCAGCGGAGTGAAATTGAGTTCAATTCCGAGAAACGTTGATTTATAGTTGTAAAAAAGGCGACCTAAATTGCCTACAGTGGAGAGATCTTATGCTGCACTGAAGATAGATTTTTTAGTTATGGCAATTTTTATTTGCTCTTTAGCAATATCCCCCGTCCGGGAGGTTTTGGTAATTTTTCGACTTCTTAATAACAAGTGGACCATCACAGATTGACTTTGTTGCTCTTTTTCTCAATACTGGCCTGTTACAGTACAACTGAATTGTTGTGCATTTCTATGTTTCAATTTCTTTTCTGGATGAATTATTCTTTTCTTCTTGTAATTGTTCTTCGTTTCCAGACAGGGGAAGAGCAGGATGATGACGATATGGATATCGATGAGACTGATTTGCGACGGATGGGGGAAGAGGAAACGCAAATGCTTGATTCATTGACATGGAAACCGCTAGCGGATGATAATCTTCTGTATGCGGTTGTTGTTGTTGCACCATACAATACAATGCTCAATTTCAAATACAAGGTCAAATTGACACCTGGAACCGGTAAACGAGGCAAGGCTGCTAAGAGTGCCATCGCGCTATTTCAGGTTCTTTGATTACTTTTTTAACCTGTTACCTTTTTTGGGTTTCATTTTTGTGTAGATTAAATTAATCAATAATTTGTGGTTGAAACATTTTCGATTTGGGCCATGTATTTGGGATAAATAGTGTTAATAATGAAATGACTTCGAAACTTATGTATAGATTGCATAAAAAATTAATTATACAGTGGAAATATTTCGGACTTCAAGAGTGAGACATCGTTCATTTAATGTCATCTCCATTTCCTTGCAGAGGGATAAGAGCGCATCAACGCAAGAATTGAACTTATTACGTGTTCTTGCATCAGATGATCAAGTTTCGCGTAACATTCCTGGCAAAGTGCGAGTGTCAGCACCGCAACTTAATAAAAAATAATCCGATTATTAGGGGTCGATGATACTTGTAATGATCGATCATAGACTGATCGGGTAGCCGATCATGTTCTCATAATTTCGATGCTGATGTGATATGTACTGTGATGCAAAAACCTCATTTCTAACCATGAATCTTACAATTAGTATGTTAAAAGAGTCTTAGTTGATACAAAAACTCTACTTCTGATAAAACTCTACCCCACAAAATTCTGCTCTACTCTTGTTAAAATAAAAGTAAAATAAAACTGGAGCGTTCAAATAAATCGAGTGTGAGAAATTTTTCGGATGATGCGAATAAAAATTTTAGCAATGCTCGTTTATCGTAATATGGTTGAAAAAAAAAGAGCATTTCGATAAGTAGTATGTGGGGTTATAAGAAATTGTGAGAAACAAATGTTAACAGATGATTTGATTAGTACAGAAAGATTTAGAAGATGTGTGTTCGCGGTTTTAGATTTAATCGGTCGCAACGACGAACGATAGTCTGCATACATTGTCCTTCCACGTTTCATTATCGCTTGTATTGTAACTGTTCATTTGAAAAAGAGATAATCTTGAAAGTACCATTATTATGGTGTATATTCAGAGTTTGTTTGTTTTTATTTGTAATCATAATTGGTGGTGTTATTATGGTTGATTTATTGTTTTCATTTCTTTTCTGTTGATATAAATATTGTTATTGGTACCAAAAGAATGGTTTGAATGTTCTGACCGCTGCTTTCAATAGAGTTGAAAATTTATCTTCATGTTGTGCTCCCATGACATATACTTTCTACGCAAATAAAGTTATTCGTTCGGACTTCGTTATGCGAAAGCGATGAATCATTTATCATAAATTGACGTGTGGGAGGTTGAGAATAAATATTCACTAAACTTCAGTGTTTCACGTAGAGAACCTTCCTGGTGTATTCAATCTTTTTTTTACAAGCCGCCCAGTTGGGCTGAAAGTGCAGCCAAAGCTTGTCCTGCTGTTCCTACCATTTCCTACCTAACGAGTTTACCTGAAGAGAAGAGTATATTTTTCTATATTTATATCATACATTCAGACGAAACATCGTTTTGTTATTGCCGTTGTTGTTTTGTGGTTTTAAAAAAGTTGGAATACGGTTTTTCAGAGAATGGCTGATGATATACTGAAGAGTATATCATTGGTTGAGCATTGCATCGATGAGATGTTCAAACTGCGTGATTCGATTCAGCATTTTCAGATGCAGTTCGAATGTGT